AGAAAAATTCAAATATTTTTTCTGTTTTATTTGGCTGTTGGATGATACCTCTTGGGGTCCAACCATTGTATCTTTTTACTCATTTAGGGTGTAATGAAAGGGTGCATTTCATATATAAAATTTGTTTGCACTCTGATCGTAACATAACAATTATTATTCAAAATTTCAAAAATTCTTAAGTGTTGTAAAACTTTGAGAATTTACATATTGCATGAAACATTGTTTATAACTTTCATACTCATTATTATTTCAGCATATATTGAGCACTAGATCTGACTATAAACTTCTTATTAAATCTTGTCTCAGTATCTTGATAACCATAGTGTTATTCAAGAATTGATCATACTTACAAAAAATCAAATTTTGTATAAGATTAACCTTGCATTCCAGGATTGTTGGAGCAAGTGTGTGCATTGAAGAGGATTGTTCTTCTTGCACTTAGTTTTCAAGATCTTAAAGGTTTTAAGAGCCTTTGATCTCCCTATAGATTAGATGGTAAGGCACCACCTTTTATGTGATTAGGCTTGTGCAATCATTCTAAACTATAGTGAAATCTCTTCCGTGTTGACAAGAGGACTGGAGTACTCTCGATCTGTGATTGGGAATCAGTATACATCTGATGTTCATTTACTTTCCGTACTTTATTGCTTTCATCACCATAATCAGAAAAACAAAAACTTAAAAAAAAGGCAAAAATTGACTATCACCTAATTCCCCCCCCCCCCCCCCCCCCCCCCCCCTCTTAGGCACATTATTAACTTACACCTATCATGAGCGCTATATCTTTGAATCTTGATCGTTTTATTTTTGAAAGTCACACTCTTCGAGTGGTACAAGCCTTTTGCTCCGTAAGTGCTGGAAATTCTAAATTTTGTACTATTGTTAGAGTTATTAAATTGTTAATACAAATTTTTCCCATCTCTAAAGTTAAGTTTATAAAAACGTCAAGCAAATTTGATTGTCCATTCATTAGCGAAGGCAGACAGTTCTTAGGTTAGACGTAATATTATTTATGTTGTTCCTCCTTGTATTGAACATTTGATTCACAATAATAAAAGTTAGTTTTGCTCGATTCAAAAATAATTTATGGTTGATATTTTTTTTATCAAATCAATAAAATACATTATGTTTATGTTTTAGTAATAAAAAAAGTGGAAAACTTGACAAAAATATACAACCTGGCCGAAATTTATGTTACAATTGAAAATAAGGAATTTATAAATGCATAAGAAACAATAATAAAATTGTATTTAAGATTAATTTTTCAGTCACTAATTCTCTATCGTTAAATCGAAGGCTTATTTCAGATTATGACCGGCTTAGAGACAAGTGAAATTTTATTTTTTAAAAGCATAAATTTTAGTGACTAATTTGGTGGTTATAGTGATCAAATATATTTGGTGTCTAAAAGAGTCACTAAAAGCTATATTTTTGAAGAGTATATCAATTAAGGAAGAACCACAAATACGTATTCATTGTTTAATTTATCTCTTAACCTTCAAGATTACTATTAAGAGGAACTTTCTCAATATATTTAGGTATTTCTAAAATTAAGTTGTAGGTTTTTTAATTGTACACATATATGTATGATTATCTGATTTCCATACTAAATCATAATCTATACCTTATGAATATGTATATTTAGTTAACCATTATTAAATTAACTCTAACAACTTTCTCTTACTTAACGAATTAATTTATACAGTTGTGTATAAAGTATAACTGATTTATATAAAATAGTATATATTTAAAAAAAAAAACTAACTTAAGAATAAGTTACAAAAAACATGTCCATTGCACAAATAATTATTTAATTTTGATATTATATTTTTTTTCAGCACTAATGTCTGACCTTCTAGACGATTAATTTAGTTCAAATGTCAGCTCTGATATCAAGTGGTTTCAACCCCTTTTAATTACAGTTGTAGGAAATTGAATTATGATTCGTCTTACTAAATCCAACGTTAAACACCATTTTACCAACTAACGGTTTTATATTTCTTTTTACACCCATAGTTTTTAATAACTTTTGTTGTAGGAATTTATGATGCAAAAGTCAGTTTCTTAATTGATTATATTAAATACCTTTGTTTGTATATATTTCAATGAATAAAGCCAATTTTACATTATTAAAATAGTGAAGACTTATTTTAACTCACAAAAATTATAGAATCTAAATTAATCTTTCATAAAAAACTCGAATTGATCTTTTATTTACAAAATTTAACCGAGTCACATTAACTTCAATGTTAATATTTTTTTCAAATCGGTTTTTTTCTTACTTTTAAAACCAATCATATTCCACCACATTGGATTATATTTTTTATTTTTTATTTTTCATTTTTTACTATTTAATTAACTTTTATTTTCATTTTTAATATTATTTTTAAACAATTCAAATTTAAAAATATACAAAAAAACTAAAATTAATTCTTAAAAGAAATCGAACCTAAAACATTTATGAAACTTTCCACGCCTTCATCACTATATTAATGTACATGGCAAATAATTCTCATGATTTATATTAATATTAAACAATTCTAAACTTCAAACAATAAAATACAAAATCTCTACCTGTAGGGTTGCCAACCCAAATTTCTTCAAGTTAAATGGTAGTCATTTTACAACTAGATCAATTGTTGTTAATATTTTTAATAATGAATATTTAACTTAATAATTCAGTATAAACATTTACTTATTTACTGATTTCAAATAACACACAAATAAATATTTACTTTTTTTAAATAGACTTAATTAAAGTTTTGGTTCCATGTCTTGATTCACGAATTTAGTCTCATATTTTAAATTTAAACAATTTTAGTCTCTCTTATTTAAATTTAAATATTTTGATCCCCTCTCATATTTTTTCACTTAAAACTAACGACATATTTATTTTTTAATTAACAAGTCATCGTATATAAACCTATTATAAAATTTTGTAGATAAAAATATAAGTTAAAAGATCATGAATTTAATATTAAAACAAATCATGAGAATTATATATCGCCTATATACATTGGTCTAGTGGTAAATATATGAGATTTAACTTAAAGGTTTTGAGTTCAATTGTTTTTAGAAATCAATTTTGTGAGGAACTAAAATGGATATTCACGTTTATTAAAATTATATATTTCAATTTTTTTTTACTACAAATTTATATTGTTTTAGGAATTTATGATGCAAAGTTAGTTTCTTAATAAATTATATTAAATACTTTTGTTTGTATATATTTTAATGAGTATAGTCAATTTAATATTATTATAATTGTATATTTTTCTTCTTTTTCTCGACTTTTCAAATTTATGGTAAATGAGTTATCAATAATAAATCCCAATTAAAGAAGTCTAAATTAAAGCAGGTGAACGAAATATCTTTTATCTTAAATTGAAACATTTCATTTCATTTGTTTTTTTTTTGCCAAGCCCTAAATTCTTTTTCTCTTTTATATATATTTTTTGGATAAATAAAAGACACAAAATATTCTTCCATAGTTAAGCCTTCATTATAGTCTTCTAAAAAATTTGCTTATACCGATTATTTTACCTTCCCAAATATGCACAAATTTGTAATAAACCTCTCAATTTTGTTTTAATTATTAAATTATATATATTTTTTGTCTTTTTTTTACCCTGCAAAATCTATTTTGCAATAAGTACAGTTTTAATATATAAAATAAAAAATAAATAAATAACATAGTGAATAATTTTGTTAATAAAAATAAAAATATTTCTGTCAAATTTTTTTTATGTTGTTAATAAATTTTGCAAAAGTTTAAAAAAAAAAAACTATTAAAGATAAATAACAAAAAATATATGTTTATAGTGATTAAAAAAATATTTTTTAAAAGATTTAAACAAAAATAAAGTATTTTAATTTGGTATATTTAGATTAAAAAATATATTTAAACATATATTTTATTAAATCGGAAGAGAGACAATTTTGACTCTCTTTGATCTTCAGTATACGAAATAAATTAGATTGATTATTTAATAATCAATGTACTATTCAACAAATATAAAAAATGAATTTTATCTTATAATAAACATTAGAGATAGTAGAGGTGTTCAAATTCAAACCAATCTAAATAAAAAATTGAAAATCGATTTAAAAAACCGAAAACCACAAAAAACTAAAATTTATTAGATATGTTTGGCTATCATTATGTGAAAATCGATCGGTTCGGATTAAATTTTCAAAATCGATCCAAACCAAGCCGAACCGTATACATATATTTTTATACTTATTTACTTTTTATTAGTATGATATGTTACGTGAATTTATTATTAGATGATATTAATTTTTTTGATAATATTTATTAGTTTGATATAATCTATTTATTTTTATTATTTCAATCATAATCGATCACTTTTATTTTGTAATATTAACTTTTAATATACTACATGTTATATATTATATTAAGTCTATAATTTATCAGTAGTTTTATAATATTAATAAAAATATAATATTTAATTTGGATATTTAAAAATCGATTCAAAAATTAAACTGTATAAAATTGGATTGGATCAGATTCGATTTTTTTAATATATCATTTAAAATCAAATCGAACCGCAAATGAATTTATCTTTAAATTCGATGAGTTTTTATCTTAAAACCGATCCAAACTGAACTGCGAACACCCTTAAGAGACAATATCTTTTTTGTAAATTATACATGTGTATCTCTTTTTTGTATTCCTTAGGAATTTTAATTAACGTGCAAACATGTGAAAAATTTAATTGAAGAAATTTTTTATTCTAATTAAATATTTTATTCTAGTTAAATTTGTGATTGATTCAAATAAAATTGATGTAATTAAATATTTTTTAAATTTATTGCATTTAACTACTTTTGACTGGAGAATTTGAACTTACCTTTTGAAATAACTATATTTCATAGTCTTATAAGCTATAACTTCATCTCTATAAATACCTCACTAGCCTTAGCTTATTCATCACATCGTATAGTACTTACAAACATATTCTTAGTGTTGTAAGGATATCATGGCTTTTGCTTTAGGAACTCATATACTCATCTTTGTAAGTTTACTCTCAATATTAGGGACCCCTTCCTCTTGTTTTAAACCAAAAAACCTTGTTAGTGTTGCTTCCAACTTCACATCTGATGCAGATTGGCCATCTACAATGGCAACTTGGTATGGAGCTCCAGAAGGCGATGGAAGTGAAAGTATATAATAGAAAATTTTCCTTAGTGAGATTCATAATTTTGTAACCAAATAATTATTTAAATGATTTTAATTGATATGTTAATTTATATGTAGGTGGTGCTTGTGGATATGGAAGAGCTGTTGGTGGCCCTCCATACAACTCAATGATATCAGCTGGAAACCCTTCCATTTACCAATCAGGCAAAGGCTGCGGCACATGTTATCAGGTCTAACAACATATAATATTATGAAAATTTTATTAACAAAATCCCTAGTATTACTTTTTGAATTATTTTTTATTAACAAGACTTTTTTGAAAGTTATCAAATTTTTTTATTAATAATTCACATATTGACTTTATTTCATTTTATTTTCAGGTGAAGTGCACAGGAAATTCTGCTTGCTCGGGCAATCCTGTTAGGGTATTTATAACTGATTTGTGTCCTGAATGTGCTCATTATTTTGATTTGAGTGGCCATGCTTTCGGTTCCATGGCAAAGTCAGGTCAAGCTGACAACCTACGTACTGCTGGAAAAATATCAGTTCAATATGAAAGGTACTCTTCCTTTTTCTTTATAAGAGATGACTCTTTTGATATGTAAGTTTTTAATTTCTTATTTTTTGTGTGCAGATGCTAGCAAAGAATGTGATCCCTGAGAGTAGCAAGCCTAATAAAACGTCTATGTATTAAGACTACTAGTTATAGTGCTATGTATGCACCTCAATCAAGTTGGCCTAAGTGGATTTTGGATTGTATTATGTAATCAATTAATAATGAAATTATGTTAGTTTATTACTTATTGAGTCAATTATAATTTTATTCCTTATTAATTAACTCAAATAATTAAAATCTTCGATGTTATTGACTATCCTACTCAAATAATTAAAATCTTCGATGTTATTGACTATCCTTTATTAGGAGTAATTTACCCTCAAATAACATGTATCAATGCCACATCAAATGATTTTTTTTAAATCATATGTTTATGAACATTTTTAATTATAGGTAACTTTTTTACTAATGTAACTTTCAATCAATTAGATTTTAAGTTGTATATTTTAATAAATTTACATTTTAGGTCTTTTTCATTCTATTTGTAATACTTCTATTCAAGAACATTATTTTACATTTATCTCTCTTATTCTAAGTTGTTTCTTTTTACATAATTCCAATTTTCTATATGAGATCCTTCGTTTGATCCGTTTGATGTGTAAGTAACATTCAATTTTTAGTTTTTAATTAAAATCTATTTGAAAATTGTTTTGTTGTGTATCATTCGGTTTGTGAGTGACTTCCTACTGAATTTTTCTTTGTCAGAAGTTTGATTTTAAAAAACATATTTTAGGTTACTTATAATGTAAATTTATATCAAGGTTCAAAATTCAGCAAAACTAAAATTATGAATATTTTTTAAGGAAAACCAATTATTATAATTTTGAATCAAATGTTTAATGTGTAGATTTAATTAGTAATACTGAATTATGAGATTGTTTGTTTTACAAGAAAAAACTTAACTAGTACTCAATATAAGTAAGTATCATATTAAAGATATTACCAAGAGTTATAATGTTTAGGGTTCACAAAATTACAGTGGTTCAATATCTCTTTATAACTTTCTCTACCTTTTTGAGGTATGCTTCAATTGTCTTAAACACTTTCCTTTAATTTGCATGCCTCTTTGAAACTTTTTCTATGGTTTTTACTTTTTTAGGAAAAAAATTTAAAAAATTAATTATCATTTTAATATATATATATATATATATATATATATATATATATATATATATATATATATATATATATATATATATATATATATATATATATATATATATATATATATATATATATATATATATATATATATATATATATATATATATATATATATGTATATATTTGTCTGGTATTTAATGGGTGGTTTTGACTGAAATTAAGTTGTTTTTTTAAAAGTACCACACAACCCGTTAATAAAAATAAAAATATTAATCAAATCAAAATATTGTTTAAATATATAATTTTAAGAAAATATAACTATATAGTTAATTTTTTATTATCCTCTTTCTCTACATTAATAATATACTGGTAAGAGTAATTGTCTGTAAATATTTACTTAATTGTTTTTTTTTAAATGTATTTTGAAAATGAATTCTAAATTTGTTTTTATGTATTTTATTTTTGGTTGACAAAAGCAAGCTTAACGCATTTTATTAGTCAAAAGTTATTTAATACAAAGAGGAATCAAATTAAAAATAATACGTCTAATTTAAAAATTGATCGTTTTCTCTAGCGAGTGGACAATCATATTTGTTTGACGCTTAATAAACTTAACCTTAAAGTTGGGATAAAGATGTACCAAATTTCTAACTTCTAATTTCTAACTTATTAACAATTAACTTTACTTTATGTCTTTATTTTATGTTTTTACTTTTATGTACCTTTTATCTTAATCATTTACATTTCATGTTATTTGTCTTTTTCTTACTTTAGTATTTATTTTGTGTTCTTTTATCTTTGCTCACTTGAGCTTTCTTTTTATTTTTTAAGACACTTAATAATTAAATTGAACATTGAAAAACTTAAGATTTTTGTGGACTATTGATTACTATCCTTGACATAGTGGAGTTGTGGATCTCTTAGACTTAGGATTGGAAGCCTTGCCCTGATACTTTGAGACCTTGGTACTCTGTTGTTATTCTGAAGTCGTTGGAGTTAACTAAGGCATTGATTTGATTTTCTTTGTGTGCAGGATATTCTGGTTTCTATGCTTTTTTTGAAGTCCTTGGAGTTTACTCCGAGACATTGTGATTGAGAATTCTTCTGTATACAGCTGTTACTCTCACCAATTTTTTTCAATGAAGACTTTGCTTGGTTCTTAATTCATCTGAGGCTTATTTTCATTTGAGGTTTGATATTATGCTTGCTTGATTTTTAGTCCAAATAATGAGAATTCTACATTGACTTCTTTATGTCAAATATTGTCTTCTTGTTGGTTAGAGATTTGCTTACCTTAGATTTTACTTTGTGTACATAGGATAGTCTCTTCATCTCTTCTCATATTCTTTAATTTCAAAATTCTCTCCCTCCTTTTCAAAAATCTTCTTGTTTTTAAACTTGAACCGCTTTCATAATAAACTTTGACTTAGGTCCATGCATGTTCAAAACATTTTTCTTAATCAAACCCTTAATCAATTTAATCATAATTTGACATCTTTTCGAAATACTAAAAGTTATTAACTCCATTCAAACCATTTTTACCACTTTGGCTTTTTACTTTAAAACTTTTTTCAAAGATTAGACTCTTGTTGATTCTTGTAGTGATGCAAGCTACTATAATTCTACAATATGTAGTCAAGTGAGCCATTTTCCACTTGGGTGTTGAGTGATGTCTTGTTGATTTTAAATCCAACCTATGCCATCGACTTTGAGATGATGCAAATACTCCTTTTTCATAATTGTGGGTAGTAAGTATATTTTCCACTCAAATACGACGATATCTCTCTTCTCTTAAAATTAATCAACATACAAGACTTTTAAAATTTTTTAAGAAGAACTACGAGTGCCTTGTTCCTCTATTACACGAAGGGGTTACATAGACACAAAGGTTCGTAACCGCTGAAGGTGCAAAAAATGTAAAAACCACTTCTTTTCTCATTTCCATAATCTCAATTTTGTAAATATTTCTTTCTAGCCAAATACACAGATTTCAAAGAGGTTCCTGCAGAGTACCGTAGATGTTTAGCGTGCTAATGGCTTCCCTTTTTGTAACTAATCCCCTTACCTTGATCTCTATTTTACTTTGGATTTATTCGCTCTTTTCCCATTCATTTGGATAAAATAAAAGTGCGATAGAGACTTTCATTAATTTTGTGAATTAAGTCAATCCAATGGTTTAGTCTCAACATTACTACAGCTACAGGTGGCTCAAGAAGATACACTTTGATGCTGTAAAAAGATTTCTGGAAATCATTAGTCAATACACAACCCTGGTCTTTCCTCAGTAGTTTGAAGATCGGCTCACAAGTAGCAGTCATATGGGAGATAAACCTGGATATATAATTCAAACATCCAAGGAAACCTCTTACTTGTTGTTCGGTCTTTGGTGTTTGCATTTCCTAAATATCCATGATTTTATCAGGATTAACTTCAATACCTATTTGACTGACAATGAAACCCAACAATTTCCTTAAATGGACACCAGAAGTGAATTTGATTGTTCAAGTGGATACGATACTTCCTCAATCGTTGAAATAACTTTAACAAATCATCAATATGACCCTCTTCAGCCGTCGACTTGGAAATCTTATCATTAACATAAACCTTTATTTCTTTGTGCATCATGTCATGGAATACGGTAGTCATAGTCATCTAATATGTTGCACAAACATTCTTCGACCCGAAAGGCATCACTCTGTAGAAGAATGTTCTCCAAGGTGTGATAAATGTTGCTTTTTTCCATGTCCTCTTGTGCCATCTTTATTTGATTATAATCGGAAAATCCATCCATAAAGTTGAAAAAAATTGATTTTTTCTATGTTGTCCACCAACATATCAATATGAGGTAGAGGGAAATCATCTTTTGGTCTGGCCTTGTTCAAGTCTCTGTAGTCAACAGACATCCAGACTTTTCCATCTTTCTTTGGTACGGGAACGATATTGGAATTCCAGTGAGGATAAACTGATGTGACAAGGAAACCAACATCAATCTGCTTGAAAACTTATTCTTTGATCTTGAGAGCTATGTCAGGATGAGTTCTTCTCAACTTATGCTTAAGAGGAAGATAATCTAGCTTAAGCGGCAACTTATGCTCCACAATATATGTATAAGGACTTGGCATGTCTTGGTAAGACCAAACAAACACATCAGCATACTCTCTAAGCAACTTTATTAACCTACTCTTGACATCCTGACCTAGCAGTTCCCCAATCTTGACATCTTTCTTATCCTCTTTAGAAGCCAAGTAGATTAATTTTAACGGCTCTTTGTATGACAAGATTGTCTTTTTCTCGTGCTCAAGCAACCGAGTGACTTCTTTTAGAATTTCATCTAATTCCCCCTCTTCAGCTTCATACATAGGAAATTAAAAGTTGGGAGAGGGCATTGAGTCATTGTTTTCAATGGGGTTATTAACTAATCTACACATATGATTGTTGAAATTATTATTACTTATGGGTGTTTTAGATTACCATTTTTCCAGAAAATAAAAAAGGAAAAAAATGTAACATGGATAACAAAATATCTTTTATTGATGATTTTAATAATTGAGACAAAGGTTAGCCCAAACAACTCACTTTAACCTTGGGTAGAGTGAGAATTTTTTTTTTGAAAAACAACAAAAGCTAATTACTTTAAAATGTGCATAACATAAGGAATGTCAATAGATGCAAGTTATGGCTGGTCCCTCTATGCGTTACAAAGCTCGGATAATTTGTTTCTGAATCATCATCAAGTACACCATTAAGTTTAGGATGAATTGGATTGATGAAGCCTCTTCTATAGAACACCTCTTCAATTGGAGGAAAAGCAAACTCCTTCTTCATAGCCTTTCCAGATACACGAGAAAACACCAGAACGACACGACACTTGTTCTCCGGAATATTTAAAATATGTCCCCATCCTTCGGTTGGACCATGGTA